AAGAAGATAGTTTATTGATGTCCTTGGGGAAACCAGAAAAATTGTCTTAGTTAGTTCCCCTAGGAAAAGGGTACTTCAAGAAACATGATAATAGTGAGTTTAGGCAAGAGGACGGCAGAAAAAAGAGGACCACGGTGTCCTGATCATATATATACTGCAAGCAGCCCCTCTTGAGCTCAATAATCTGTGAGCGAGCGCGATATGCGAGTGTGCGAATGGTGAAGTTTGAGAAATCTTAATTGAAAACGGCTCTAATTTTTTTTACAAAAACAAAAAAAGAAAAAAACAAAAAAAACTCTGATATAGGAGTTCTAATACGAACTTTCCCAAAGTGGAATATTTGATACGGATTGGACTAAATATTTCTCAAACAGTCGACTCCCGAAGACTAGAACTTCGAGTTACTCGGGAGTTCGAGTTATCGGGAGTTCGAAGCAGATAGCCGGACACAAGCAAATAAGAAAATGTATGTGGAGAAAATTCAAGGATATGCACACTTCACTTCAGGGCAGCAAGAGATACGGCATGATTGATATTTTGAACAAGGAATTAAGCAACAAAGCTTGATTAAGATACAGGGATAGACACTGAATTTGAATTTACCAGTAGAGTGATAAAAATGTGAAGACAAAGAATTGACATGATTGTTTTGAAATAAATTCAATGTTTCGGCCTTCAGTACACTGTTTTATTTTCCGACGTATCACGGGCTTAAAACGTGGTATGACCCGAAGGAAAACAAAAATTACTTCGAGTTAGCGGGAGGTTCGAGTTATCGAGGGTTTGAGTAACCGAGGGTAAAATTACAGTGGAAGTTTGAAGCGAGAAATCCAGAGGAAATCGACTATAGTTCGAGTTATCGGGAGCCAACTGTATAAAGATTAAAAGAGGAGGGGGAGCATGAGCTGTGGGTGACTTGCGGATCGCGCGCCAAAAACTTCTTAAGGGGAGATTATGCAATTTCAACCTGCAAGCCCATTGGTTCGACCCCCGCATTGAAGGCTAATTAGAAAATGAATCCTAAAACTTCGAAAACTACATTGACTTTGTCTTTTCACTTTTTACTTTCGTTGTTCTTATAATGCTCTGGAGTGAGAAGATTGCAGGCTATTTTTCTTATACAAAAATGTGTAAATTGTTGTGAAGTATTTTGAAAGTTATTTTTAAGACGGATCTATGTTATCTTTTAAGTTTAGTTTTTGTTTCACTAAGTCTTGTTTTGTCAATGTACTGTTTTCCTGTTTTGATCTTTTGTTTTTACTTGTACTTGAATTTATGCTTAGCTCGCGAATTTACTTATTGCCATATTAGGAATGTTTTTCACTTGACATTGTCAGATTTTAGTTTTTTACAGGTGGTCGTGTTTGTGGTGTTAGAGCGAACCTTGGTTCTTTGGTACTTGTCTGTTGCGAGTGTGCGTAGGCTAATCTATTCCCTAACAATAGCAAACCTGTTGCCATGTTAGCGATAAGATATACAATAGAAACTCTACCGGTCAGCTAACCCAAACACGTCCAGCTTTGGCTATAAAAACCCGCTACTTTACTTGAACTAGTAAGTAGAGAAGACTAAAAAAGTAGAAAAGAGTGAGAAGAGTAGGAAGATTAATATTGTTAGCAGAAGTCAAAGAAGAATAAAGGCCAAGGTGTAAATCAGATTCCTGGTACCTCATCGTGTAGCGAGCGAGTTGCTCGAACACACCCCCACAAAACGTTGCGAGCAGTATACGTATACCGGCACTTACCTCATGTCTTTGTTCTTTACTATGATGAGACAAACAAAAGAGTTTCCAGTGATGTTTACAATAACGAGTAACGATTGCACTGTTGCTACGGCAATCTCGGCTGGGCCTTGCTCCCTGTAGATAAAGTCCATTGCTTCCTACAATTAAAAAAAGAGAGGATTTAGAGACATTTTTTACCCATAAAGATCTTATATAGGATCAGGTTATCAATATTTACGGTTTCCGAGTCTTTTTGTTATAAAATATATATCAATATACAAAGTACTAAGTCGATAATTAAAAATGCTGGGCCAATGAGATCGCACTTCTGCCTCTGTAAAGTTATTTACATTTGTTAATACCCTACCGCAAAAGGTAATCCGTGTTCTGACTATCTATTGCAATATGAACGAATAACAAGTCGATGCAAAAGAAGCTCGAAAAGAAAATGTCCACTCCGAATCACGTCAGTGTACCAATGTTTACCTAAAGGCGCGCATGTGTTTATAAAGTGCCACGTTATATCTGTATGACATAAAACTTGAAGTTCCTCTACATTGCTTGGTTAATTGTTTCGGTCTTTGACTCAACAGCTCCTTAAAATGGACTTTTTTATGTCACATAACTTTTGTCGAGGTGGAATATTATTTTTAGCTTTTTCCTCATGGATGACTGCGTTTTACACATCGATCCCTTCCTGGCCTTCCTGTTCATCCATCTTTATTATCCATCTTTTTTCTTGCACGACTTAAGTATTCAAATAAAAAGAAGCAGTTTTCACCCGTGCACTTTGCAAATACCCGGAAAGTGGCTTTCTGAATTCCAATCCTGCGTTTTCCCCTGTTTGCTCTATCGAAGCTGGTGGAAGAACTGTCAAAACATATGCCTTAAAAACAGGACGTCTTAAGTCTATCAGCATGATGTCAGAAACATTTTACTCAGCAGCTGTTCAGTTAAAGGTTTGACGGTTATGTCATGAACAGCGGTAGAATTTCAATGTAATTTTTGCTTTTGTTTCTAAAAACCAATTGCCTGCACAAGCCCGTTTATTTATTGGTTTATACTGAATTACAAGTTAGCTTAAATATTCATATGCTAAGTGAGTGGTTCCATCGTTTCTTATTAGCAGTGGAAAAGCTTATTTATCCTTGTATATAGTGATTACCCGCTAAGTTATGACTATTGAACGTCACCTGTTCTTATAAACATTTAGGAATTATTGGACGAGGCTGAGATTGATCTAATAAAAGTATTATGCAGATCGAGAAAGGTCTTAAATTTGGCCAACGCTATTTGTTTTTAAATGTTTATCCGTTTTGTAAACTCTATAGTGTGATATTTCAACATTAACGTACGGCTGGCTCAAAAATTAGCCTAAGCTGAGTAGAAACTCTTAGTAGAAATACTCAAGTAGAATTTTAAGGCGAAGCACAAAGGCTACCCCTTTGTAGAGTACGGTTCCTTTCTGTCTCCATAAGAATTGGTATCTTCCAGCAGACTGATCAAAAATTACTTAATGTCGCAGTTTTTAGCCTTAATGTCGGATAAAAGGGCTAGCCCCTTTATCCTCTCTTGTCACAACTGAGCTCTCTTTACCAAGCATTAGGTCAAAGATGTTGGTCTTAAGTAGTACTTACGAAATGTCGTCTACATATGCAGGAGTACCCAACGAACATTTTTCGCAAAATTGATTATACGATGTCGTAAACGCTAGCAAAGTGCTTTTACGTCAACCCATGTTAATATTTAACTTTCCTGGGAAAAAAATACCCGCTCTTCACTGCTAGCCAGCAAGACTTTCAGAAAATAAAAATCCCAGCCAGCAATCATGTTTGACGGTTTTTTGCCAGCCAGCAAGGTTAAAAAAACAAAAATTACGCAATCCCAGCCAGAGTGAAACGGAATTCGGTGTTTGCCAGCCAGCGGTAGCAGAAGTAAGTTATGAGCCAGCCAGCAAAGTTTCATTTAACACATTGCCAAGAAAAACATGTAAGTCAGTAGGCAAGATCTGTTTTACGTCAAATTTTACATAATATAAAAGAAAAGCGTGTTTAACCTGTTTCACCCTTTTATCTAGTTGTCGGTTTTTTTTTTTTTTTTTTGAGATATAGGGAAAAGATCAGTGTATTTGTTTAGTATATATTATTCCCTATCCCTAAGAATTACATAACAATAACATAACAACTAAAGACATTCAGCGTACTTACAGTTTTGGAATGTGGACTTGAGGAGTAGTCTTGAGTTTTTGCCAGGTAAACGATAAAAAGGAAGATCCCGAACTTTGTCCATAACACAATAACACGTAAAAAAAGTGATCATCGCAAAGCCTTAAGGCCAACTTTTTCCAACGATAATCGACTGAGGTGAAATAAAGTTTAAGAATAAACAACATAACGAGTAAGCTCGATCCACGTGTGGTCTCCTCTGCAAAATCACCCCAAATTCAGTGTAGACACATGCTTATCGCCAGCATTGTATGCCGTGCCTACTGTTACTCCGCAAAAAGTCTACACCAGAACTAATAGAAAGTTTCGAGTAAACAGGCTTTCCGTTGGAAACTTCTAACCACTACGGCTGAAAACCACGAACCCACAAAGTAAGGTAACGTTTGCGGTCTTTAACTCGAGTTTCAACGTGGGGAGGATGGTTTCCTCTTTCGTCATTTACGTAAACGCCTGACTACAAACAAGGACCTTTCTGTTGCGGTAAAAAAAAAAACAATACTGTCCATGTTTTCAAATACGCTATGGCAACAGTTTACTTTTTAAAGCCAGACTGATAACGTGTTCTTGTAGTATTTTTCTCCGCACTAGTAAGAGCTTGTCATCCTGAGTTTGATCTTACTCACTCATTTTTTCTGTGGTCAAGAAGCCATAATGGTATGTCGTCAGACAATCACCACAAAAGTTTCGCAGCAAAAGCCAGTAGTCGTAGGTAGTCAGTCAGGCAATCACCGTAAAAGTTTCACACCAGAACTGGTGCAAAGTTTCGCAGCAAAAGCCAGTAGTCGTACGTGTTCAGTCAGGCAATCACCGTAAAAGTTTCACACCAGAACTGGTGCAAAGTTTCGCAGCAAAAGCCAGTAGTCGTATGTGGTCAGTCAGGCAATCACCGTAAAAGTTTCACACCAGAACTGGTGCAAAGTTTCGCAGCAAAAGCCAGTAGTCGTACGTGTTCAGTCAGGCAATCACCGTAAAAGTTTCACACCAGAACTGGTGCAAAGTTTCGCAGCAAAAGCCAGTAGTCGTACGTGTTCAGTCAGGCAATCACCGTAAAA